GAGCCGGAGATGTTGCCGATGAGGAAGAAAAAGCAATAAAAGAAGTTGCTAATGATGTTGGAAAGAGAAGGAGGGTGATGGAACAGGAGAAGGGGTAAAAAAGCCTGAGGACGGACTGATCACAGTGAAGGACCCGCAGTCGCGTGAGAATGAGGGTTTACAGTCGCAATCGTTGAGTGGAACTCATGGAGTTGAAACGATAAATTCATCAAAAGGCAGTTTGCCAGTTGGTGAGGATCAACGAAATTTGTCGAGTTCTGTGTAGCCTCCATTGCCCAACAACTCACCGCATGCAAATCCATCATCTACATCTGCAGCTGGCCGTGTTGACGCGAAAAGCCACGAAAACAACATTGGCACGAAGAATTCTCAACAGTCTGTCGTGGGAGACATTCAACAGAATAAGGACACCGGCAAAAAGCTGTCGCTTCAACGGGTAGAGGGGAAGGTTCACGATTGCCACTCACGACGGTTGAAGAAATGAGTGTTGTAACGACGAAGGGCGACAGCGGCAGCAGCACCGCGGCAGCTACGGCCATGCAGTCTGACACTGGCACAGAAGGCGCTCCGGCCACCAATCATCCGAACCGACCCACCACTGAAGGCGCCACACCACCCGGAACGAATTCCGATGGTGAAGCTGCATCAGCCAACAAATATGATACGGTCTCTCAGACTGCGGGATCCACAGCAGCGCCAACCACAAACGCCAAAGCAGATGACACGACGAAGCCTGGCGACAGTGACAGCGGCACCGCAGCCTCCCACACCACCGCTTTTCTTTTGCGCTTAACGTTGCGTGTGCGGCTGCTGCGATAGTGGTGGCTACGCTTGCATGAAGTGGTGTGCGCTGAATATGAAGAAAGGCCGAAGGCAACTGAATTGTTGTTGTGATGAATATTGGCTGCACTTCCCGTGGAACAACAATCCACGTGGTGTGCGGGGATCTCCTCTTTTTTATTGTTACTTTGCTTTTGTGTTGCTGTGTGCGCTGCACCTCCTCTTGTGTGTGTGCGTACTCCGTGAGGGCTGCGGACACGACGGACCGCTCTCGCCGTATGTGCATGCGGTGGAGCCTTGTGTGCCGCTCCTGTTTGCTTCTCCCTCTTCCATCTGTGTGTTGGTGCTGCGGCAGGGCTGTGTGTGTGTGTGCCTGCTGCCGTGGATTGGAGTGTGTATCGTGCGTGGTGTGCGGCGTACGGTGCATGCCTGGCTGCTGCCCTCTCCTCATGTGGTGTGCCCTCTGTGTGTGTGTCTGCCGCACCTCTCGTCTCCCCTGTTGCTCTACATGTCCCTCACTGTGCAGATCAGCTCCACACCACTGAACGACCACACCCACGATGATGACGACGTGCCGTCTGCTGTGCGCCCTGTTGGTGCTTGCCCTGTGCTGCTGCCCATCCGTGTGCGTAACAGGGAGTGAAGATAAAGCTGAAAAAGCTGGACAGGGTTCAACGCTCCAGGATTCAGGGGGTTCAAGCAATTCCGATAATCCAGAAGCAAAAGTCACGGAAGATAATGAACAGAGTTCAGATAAGGAGCCCAATTCGTCAGAGAGACAATCGAAGACCGCTGCTGCTCCAGCAACTTCAACATCGACAGTTACAGAAGAAGGACCAAGTGGAGCGCCCACTTCGCAAGATGGAAGAGATGCGTCTGTTCGGCCAGGGGCATCAGAAGGGAATAACCCTTCACCAGGACCAACAGGTGACTTCGATAAATCAGTTGTAAAGAATCCGGAGCATAATAATGAAGTAGCGCTAGCTGGTAAGGAAGTTAATGAACAGGCACCAACCACGACAACCACAACGACCACAACTACAACAATGGCACCAACTACTACAACCACCACCACTGCGCCCGAGGCACCAGGTGATACGGCCATGAATGCAGAGGCGCCAACCACGACGACCACCCGCACACCGTCACGTCTTCGCGAAGTCGACGGCGGCCTCAGCAGCTCTGCGTTGGTGTGTTCCCCGCTGCTGCTCGCAGTATCCGCGCTGGCGTACACCGCTGTGGGCTGAAGAAGTGCGTGTGGGCTGTGCGTGCCAGCACCCAATCACGGGGATTTGTGTGCGTCCACTGTGGTCCGATGTAACTAAGTAAGAGAAAATATAATTGTTTTTTGCTTCACTTGCTTCCGCTGCTCTGCTGTGTGCTCCATGTTGTTGCTCCCTGTATCCGTCACGTTGAACGCGTACCAGACACACTCATATGCACGACATGCATACAAATTTTTGTGTGGAATCAGATTTGTGGATGGGTGCATGCACATTGGAGTCATTCCCAGGAGCTTTTTTTTTGTTTTTTTAATTCTTACTTTTTTTCTGTTTGTTTACTCGTGTTTTTTTAATTGTTTTTCTTTTGTTGATTATTTGCTCTGGCTGTGTGTGTGCGTTTTTGCCTTTTTACTGATTCCATTTCTCTTGTGGTGTCTGCTGCTTCTGGGGTGCTGCCATTTATGACTGTGCGGTGGTTTTCTGTGGTGTAGCGGCCGTGTCTTTCTTTTTCCTTTTGCTTTCACTCTGCGTTGACGTGTTGTTAGTTTGTGCTGAAGGCTGCACGCAAGTGACAGGAGTGATGGCGATGATGATGACTGGCCGTGTGCTGCTGGTGTGTGCCCTCTGCGTGCTGTGGTGCGGTGCCGGCGGTAGATGTGACGAGGCGCTACCTGTTGTCGTTTCAGCTGTTAATCCTGCGAGTGGTGGTGTTGTTACCGACAATGCCGCCGGTCAGACTGCACCTGGTGAAGCGGAAGGCCTTTCTGCGCACCAACCACAGCTGGAAAGCGTTGGGGGTTCACCTTCCGGGGGCTCGCGATCGCAAGCTGATTTACAGCCTCAATCGCCAACAATACAGCTGACACACTCCGGCGCCGAAAATACGGTTCCGTCGACAACTTCAAAACCATTGGGCGAAAAGATGCAAAATGTACCAGACGAAGGTCCACCAGGGGAACCGGGGATTTTATCCAGCCAAGAGGAGGCGATAAAAAAAACAATTGTAAATCAACAGAGTAATGATCCGCCATCTCATTCAATTAACAACGATGTTGTCAGCCGTAATAGTGGGGAACGCACAGAAGGTAATTCGAGGCGTGCTGAAACTCTTTTTGCCGCACATTCAGAAGAGGGCCAGGAACGTGAAAAAGTTACTCCTTCCTTGGAACAACCTCACGAAACGTCCACGGCCGCACCGGCCATTACCACTCAAACAATTTCCATGACGCCGCCCGACGAAAGTGAGATCAACACCGTCAAAATAAGTGAGGCATCACCTCAATCAACAGGGACCGCTCAAACAAATCATACGGCGACACCTGGCGACAGCGACAGCAGCACCGCGGTCTCCCACAACTTCTCCCCTCTTTTGCTTCTTGTTGTTGCGTGTGTGGCTGCGGCTGCGGTGGTGGCTGCGTGAGAGTGAGTGAGAGAAAGCCATGCACCGCCCGCACACACACTCGTCCTTCACTCACTCTGTGTGTGTGTCCCCTTGCATGGACTCTCGCCCTCACCTCACCCCACGAAGCACACACATAATGTGCCCATTGTATATATGCATGCACACCCATGCAGGCCCGTTGGTGCTCTCTTTTGCACGACACGCACCGCTGCCGTCCTGCCTGGCTGCATGGGCGGAGCACCGTAACTGTTTTTGTTTTTGTTTTTATTGCATTGAGTAAGCGACCTCTCTCTCTCTCTCTCCCTGTGTGTGTGTTTTGCTTTACGGGAGCAATGAGAGTGTGTGTGCGCTGGTCGTTCCACGCTTCGGCTTTTTGTTTTATTTTTCATTGTTTTGTGGTTGAGAGCACCCATTCCGCGAGCTGCGTGTGTGTGTTTGTGTGTGATGATATGAGTAATTTGCGTGTGTGCTACCTGCCTCTCTCTGCCGTTGCTTTCTTCTGACTCTCTTGTGCCGCACAGCTGCTCTGCAAGTATAGGCACTGACAAACGCACGAGCACATGCACACACACACGCCATGCCGCTCACGCTGCGTAGAGGTCTGAACGCTGAGAATGCACATAAAGGGTTCTTGCTGCGGCGGCCCTGCTAGGAGGGAGGTTGTCAGCCCGAGAATTCTTTCGTCGACGTGTGGAGGGTGTGTTGTTTGCGGCGTGCAGCCGGTGGGTGCTGTTGAGGGTGCCGTGGGCGAGTGCGGATTGTTTCTCGCCATGGAGCTGCGCGTGTCGACGTGTTTATCCCGCTGTGGATTTGCCGATATTCTTTGGCTGTGCGGGGTGATGTGCGTTGGAGGGCGCGCTGGAAGGGACAAGCAGTAAGACGACTGGTGGCAGCGCGTTGGTGGTGCGAAGGGCGGCTGCACCCTTTTGCGTCCCGTTGTTTTCTCGGTGTTGCTTGGTGTGCGCTGACGCTTCATGAATAAGACACCCGCCGTGACTCCTGCTGGTGGCAACAGTCGCTGTGTGTTCCCGGTGCATTTCTACTGCTTCTGCTGTTCTTTGTGTTTGTGTTCGTGAGTTGTTGTTGTTGGGAGCGACTGCGGCGGGGATGATGATGCCACTCTCTGTGGATGGGTGACGGTGTTTACTGTTTTACCTCTTTTATTGGCATCTTTTCTCTCCACTCTCTCAATCACACACGAAGAAGGAAATCAAGCGCTAAACGCTACTGTGAAATTCGAAGGCTCTGAAAGGACCAACAGCACACACACCGCCTACACACACATATTTATATGCTCTCACGTGTTGCTGCAGTGAAGGCACCCCGCACACACAACCGTCGCCGCGTGACCGGATCCAGCGGAAGGAGGAGGGAAGGAAGAGAGAGTGAGCCGCAGAGGCCCAACATGTCCCGGTGTGTGTTTAATTCCGCGGTGCTGCTCTTCCTCGTCGTGATGATGTGCTGCGGCAGTGGAGCTGTGGCCGCTGATGAGGCGTCGTCAGCTTCAGGATCTTCACCGGAGAAATTGTTTTATTGGAGAGATGCAAAAAATGTGGAGGCAGTGAGTTCGCTCCGTGTTCCCAGTCTTGTTGAGATGAATGGTGATGTGTTTGCCGTTGCCGAGGCGCGGTGCACGGGCACCGGAGGATGCGTTTTTACTGGGATTGCCTCGGAGTTTTTGTCTCTGACTGATGAAAAGCCAAATGAGTTGGATATGAGTAAATTGAAGACACAAGTACTGGTGAACCGTTCTTTCGGAGGAGAAAAATGCCCCTTCCAAACAGCAGTTCTGGCTGGCACTCAAAGAGTGAAGAAGGTACATGTGAGCCGACCAACAACAGTCGTGCAGGGAAGTGATATTTACATGCTTGCTGGAAACTACAGTTGGACATATGAGGGTAAGGCAGATTCTGTGTTTCAATGTGGACTCTTGCTGGTAAAAGGTAACATTAGCAATGAGGCAGACAGTACCAACAAAAGCATCCTTTGGAAAGATACTTACGATCTCCCATGGATTTCTAATGGCAGACAGGAACAATCCTGGACACGACTGATTGGCGGTGGTGGATCGGGTATTAAGACAAAAGGCAATACTCTCTTGTTTCCATTGGAAGGCAAAAAAAAAGAGAATGGGAAAGCCGTTTCACTGATTATGTACTCCTCGGACACTGCGGGTTGGACGGTATCGAGGGAGATGTCTGCCGATGGCTGCGGTGATCCCTCCGTCGTGGAGTGGAAGGACAAACTCATCATGATGACTGCGTGTGATGACGGCCGCCGCAGGGTATATGAGTTTAATCTAACGGAGTCGTGGACGGAGGCGCTCGGGACACTCTCGCGCGTGTGGGGCAACAAACACAAGGGAAATAAGAAGGGCGTTGGGAACGGGTTTATCACAGCGACGATTGAGGAAAAGGACGTGATGCTCGTCACTCTGCCGGTGTATGCCAAGACTGAGAGCGAAGAAAATGGAAAGGGCAGACTCCATCTTTGGCTGACGGACAATACGCACATTGTTGATATTGGGTCGGTGTCCGGTGATGATGTTGCCGCCAGCTCCCTGCTGTACAGAAGTGGTAAAAGTGAAACGAATGGGAAGGAAGAGTTGATTGCACTGTACGAGAAGAAGAAGGCCGAAGGGGAGAAACCACCATCACCCGGTATGGTCTCTGTGCGTCTGACTGCGCAGCTGCAGCGGGTGAAGGATGTGCTGGCGACCTGGAATAAAGTGGACAAACGTGTCTCTCAGCTGTGCACCACTTTACTTGCTCAGAAGGGTTTCTCATCTGACAATGCCTGCACTACTGATAAGATCACGGCTGGGCTGGTTGGCTTTTTGTCTGGCAGCTTCTCCGAGAACACATGGAGGGACGAGTACCTCGGGGTGAACGCCACAGTAAAGGGGAATGATGGTGGGGCAACAAAGACTTCATATGGTGTGACATTTAAAGGACGTGGTGCGTGGGCGGAGTGGCCTGTTGGCGCGCAGGGGGAGAATCAGCTGTACCACTTTGCGAACTACAACTTCACTCTTGTGGCGACGGTGTCCATCGACGGTGTACCGGAGGGAGATACTCCCATTCCTTTGATGGGTACGAAGATGAATGACGGTAAGAATACTATGCTCCTGGGACTGTCGTACAGCAACAAAAATAAGTGGCAATTGCGGTGCGGTGACGGAAAGACGACTGAGCACAGCAGCAGTTGGAAGCCAGAGACAACACACCAAGTGGCTATTGTGCTACAGAACAGCACCCAGGGCACCGCGTACGTTGATGGTCAGCGTGTGGGAGATGCGCCATGTACATTGGGAAGCACGGAATCCCAAGAGATCTCCCACTTCTACATTGGAGGGGATGGAGGCAGCGCGGGGAGCCGAGAAGGTGTGTCTGTGACGGTGACGAACGTCCTGCTGTACAACCGCCCGTTGAGTTCCGCGGAGATGACTGCGCTTAAAATGAAAAGCGTTAATATTCCGAGGCTGGATCATGCGAAAACAGAGCCGAGGGGTACTGCGTCTACTCCCGCCGGGCAACAGCCGTCGGAATGGGGGCATTTGGTGGGAAGCAGTAAAGATGCGAGTGGTGGTGTGGAGGGGGCCGATTCACAGATCAGGGAAGTAAATGCCACGGCACTCAGCAGCAACCTCGGAAATGTGTCGCAAGAAAATAACAGCGATGCCGGCATTATGCGTGAGAGCGGACTGCTGCCATCGCTGCTTCTGCTGTTGGGACTGTGGGGGTTTGTGGCTCTGTGAGGAGTGACTGGCTGCCGCGTGGGACAATTGCGACATCCCCAGCACGGAATTAATTCCAAGAACTAACTTGTTCCCTAAGATAATTTTCCTTTTTTGCTTTCTGTTTGTAATTCATCAAATTTTTTTTTTTTTTTACGTGTTGCGCGTGTGTTTCCTTTTTTTAAATTTTTTTTTGGTTTTCTGATGTTGTTGTTTCTTTAATTCCTCATCCCCCATACTTTTTTTTTTTGCTTTTTGGGGCAATCACTATGGACGCTTCTTTTCTTTTCTACTCTTCCCTCTTTTAATTGTTTCTTCTGCACTCTTCCTGCGAGGGGTGCCGTGTGTTTCCCGCCCAACTGCTCCACTCGCACACCCACCGACACGCTCATGACGACGGCCCTGTGCGCCTCGCCTGCTGCACGCATGAGGAGGGGCCGTGATGTGTGGGCGTGCGACGAGGGCCTGTGGGCGGAGCACACATTTCTTTCCCTCTTGTTTTGTTTTTATGCGGCCAGGGCGGGCAGACACCCGCAGCGCCACACACACACACAGCCACACCCTGCCGCCGTGTTTTTAAGACTTTTTGCTTTGCGTGTTTATTTCTCGCGCCGGCAGTCCCTTCGGTGTCGGTTTTGTGAGCATTTCTTTTCCTTCTGATTTTTTCTTTGCTGCGCTCACTCTCCCGATGGAGTGACGCGACTCTCATCATGTCTGCGTGCTTCTCTCAGTCCCCATGCACACACACGAGTGACTGTGCTCTGCGGGCCGCACTCACACGCCGATGGGAGGGCTGAGGGGAGCAGCAACACGCAGATGACCCCATGAAATATAAACGATGTGCGGTCACACGGAGGGTCAGACGGTTGAAAGACATTTAAATATCTTTTTAATTTATTTTCGGACAAAATATGCAGACAATTTCTGGAGCAACATTGTGGTTGGTTGCTTTTTTTGTGTGTGTGGTTTTTCTTTTTCTTTTTTTCTTTTTTATTATTTGGGTGTAGCCGTAATAGAGGACGGCTTTTTTTCATTTTCTTTTTTTTTTCTTTTTTCTTCTTTCCAAAGTGTGAGGTGTGGAAAGGTGAAGATGAATTTTTATTTAATTTATTTTTATTAAATTTTTTTATGAATTGCCGCTGCTTTGTCTGCAGTGCAATATTGTGAGCTTGAGCAGTCTTTTTATTTCTGCCATGCACCTCTGCTGTACTGTTTTTGTTTGTGCGTCCCTTCACATGCTCTGCTCCTGTTTTTACTTCTTTGCTTCGTGTGTCTGCGGTGGGAATCACGGTGCCATCGGATGCATATGTGTGTGGGACACCTTTTGCGTTGAGTTTGTGGCCGGCTGACGCGGCTGCACGATGCCCGCCATGCGTGAAGGTGCTGCCTGCTCTTGGGGTCATTCTTCTCTGCCCTCTGTTTTTGCCTCGCCGGGTGCGTGCGTTGCTCGGTGTGTGGTGACGCGTGACGGACGGTGCCACGATGGCCTCCTCTGGCGATGACAGTCGCTGTGTTCTAGGCACACACATCCACACACACACTTCCTTGTCTCCCTGTCGGTGCTGGACGCGTTGAAGGCCGATTACAGCCACACGGACACCCGCAGGTTTGCTGCACCGTACTTCTTCCAGCGGTGCGATGCCGCCGGCTACACGAATTGGTGGTGCTGTGTATGTTGCGCGGCCGGGGCATGCCGGCGATTGTGAGGGACGTGGAGGACACGGAGCTGCTGGACTGAGGGAAGAGGTGGCGGGCGTTGTGGCGCAGCGGGAGCGCATGACGATCCCGAGGCCTGTGCTGGAGGGGCGCGTGTTGAGGTGAGCGTGGCGTGCCTGCGAGGGCCTGAGGAGAGAGAGAACAACAGCATTGGTGACTGTGGGAGTGTGACGAACGATGCGCGGGCGAGGAGCGCTCCTCTTTTTTTTTTTATTGTTGTTGAACCGTGTCTACCCAATTGTTGTGTTGCGGTGGTGCGTGACTCTCATTGCTGGATGGGACGGTTCGTGGTTGTGTGACTTGTCTCCCTTTTTGCTTTTAGTCCGCGTTGACGGGGAGTTAGTTTGTGCTGAGGGCTGCACGCAAGTGACGGAAGTGATGGTGATGATGATGACTGGCCGTGTGCTGCTGGTGTGTGCCCTCTGCGTGCTGTGGTGCTGTTCCGAAGGATGTTGTGAAGAAGTACTCGCAGTTTCTTAGCCTGATGGTCTTGAGAGTGACGGAGGAGATTTAAAGGGTACATTACGTTATGAAACGCCAGTACCACACACCCCCCCAGGCCCAGAAGCACCAGGAATAAGTGTCCAACAATAAGAAAACCTCCCCTCATCTTTTGAAGGCCTCCTTTCAGGAGCCGGAGATGTTGCTGATGAGGAAGAAAAAGCAATAAAAGAAGTTGCTAATGATGTTGGAAAGAGAAGGAGGGTGATGGAACTGCAGAAGAGGTAAAAAAGCCTGAGGACGGACTGATCACAGTGAAGGACCCGCAGTCGCGTGAGAATGAGGGTTTACAGTCGCAATCGTTGAGTGGAACTCATGGAGTTGAAACGATAAATTCATCAAAAGGCAGTTTGCCAGTTGGTGAGGATCAACGAAATTTGTCGAGTTCTGTGTAGCCTCCATTGCCCAACAACTCACCGCATGCAAATCCATCATCCACATCTGCAGCTGGCCGTGTTGACGCGAAAAGCCACGAAAACGACATTGGCACGAAGAATTCTCAACAGTCTGTCGTGGGAGACATTCAGCAGAATAAGGACACCGGCAAAAAGCTGTCGCTTCAGCGGGTAGAGGGGAAGGTTCACGATTGCCACTCACGACGGTTGAAGAAATGAGTGTTGTAACGACGAAGGGCGACAGCGGCAGCAGCACCGCGGCAGCTACGGCCATGCAGTCTGACACTGGCACAGAAGGCGCTCCGGCCACCAATCATCCGAACCGACCCTCCACTGAAGGCGCCACACCACCCGGAACGAATTCCGATGGTGAAGCTGCATCAGCCAACAAATATGATACGGTCTCTCAGACTGCGGGATCCACAGCAGCGCCAACCACAAACGCCAAAGCAGATGACACGACGAATCCTGGCGACAGTGACAGCGGCACCGCAGCCTCCCACACCACCGCTTTTCTTTTGCGCTTAACGTTGCGTGTGCGGCTGCTGCTGTGGTGCCCAGGCCTGCATGAAGTGGTGTGCGCTGAATATGAACGAAGGCCGAAGGCAACTGAATTGTTTTTGTGATGAATGTTGGCTGCAATTCCCGTGGACCAACAATCCACGTGGTGTGCGGGGATCTCTTCTTTTTTATTGTTACTTTGCTTTTGTGTTGCTGTGAGCGCTGCACCTTCTCGTGTGTGTGTGCGTACTCCGTGAGGGCTGCGGACACGACGGACCGCTCTCGCCGTATGTGCATGCGGTGGAGCCTTGTGTGCCGCTCCTGTTTGCTTCTCCCTCTTCCATCTGTGTGTTGGTGCTGCGGCAGGGCTGTGTGTGTGTGTGCCTGCTGCCGTGGATTGGAGTGTGTGTCGTGCGTGGTGTGCGGCGTACGGTGCATGCCTGGCTGCCGCCCTCTCTCCTCATGTGGTGTACCCTCTGTGTGTGTGTCTGCCGCACCTCTCGTCTCCCCTGTTGCTCTCCATGTCCCTCACTGTGCAGATCAGCTCCACACCACTGAACGACCACACTCACGATGATGACGACGTGCCGTCTGCTGTGCGCCCTGTTGGTGCTTGCCCTGTGCTGCTGCCCGTGCGTGTGTATGACAGTCCCTGAGAAGGCTCCAGATTCCGAAGTTCAAGTTGATGTTAAAGGCGCCGGTGAATTGTCCCATGCACCTGGAGGAACACGAGCCACGACGGTCGGTGAGCCAGGTTCGCCAGTTCCGGGGCCGGCTGCTGAACGGAGAAGCGAAGGCGGGCATGGTGGAGGTGCGCCCGATTCAGAACCGCAACCAAATGCTGCTTCCAATAAGTTACAAGGAAAAGTTACGGATGATAAGAAAAATACAGAAAGTGGCACGAGTTCGTCTGCAGAATAAAGAAATAAGAGTGAAGAAGATTCCGCCCAGAAGACCACGACGACCACAACTACACTGGCACCAACCAGGACCACGACCACCACTGCGCCGGAGGCACCAAGTACTACGACTACAGAGGCGCCAACCACGACGACCACCCGCGCACCGTCACGTCTTCGCGAAATCGACGGCAGCCTCAGCAGCTCTGCGTTGGTGTGCGCCCCGCTGCTGCTCGCCGTATCCGCGCTGGCGTACACCACTCTGGGCTGAAGAAGTGCGTGTGGTCTGTGCGTGCCAGCACTCAATCACGGGGATTTGTGTGCGCGTCTACTGTGTTCCGATGTAACTAAACAGGAGAAAATAATGATTGTGTTTTGCTTCATTTGCTTCCGCTGCCCTGCTGTGTGCTCCATGTTGTTGCTTCCTGTATCCGTCACGTTGAACGCGTACCAGACACACTCATATGCACGACACGCATACAACTGTTTGCGTAGATGCATTTTTGTGCTTGTGCATGCGCACTGGAGTCATTGGGTGCATTTTTTTGTTCTTTTGTGTTTTTACTGTTTTTCTTATTGCTACTTTTTCACTTTGGTTTTGTTTTTAATTGCTTTTTTGTTGTTGTTAAATTATTACGGGGCGTTGTGCGTTTTCTGACTTTTATTGGTTTAATTTTTCTCATGAAATGCGTGCAGCTGCTGCTGATGTTTTTTACTGTGTCGTGTCTTTTCTTTTGCTCTCACTCAGCGTTGACGGGGAGTTAGTTTGTGCTGAAGGCTGCACGCAAGTGACGGGAGTGATGGCGATGATGATGACTGGCCGTGTGCTGCTGGTGTGTGCCCTCTGCGTGCTGTGGTGCGGTGCCGGCGTTGCTCATGCGAGGGACCGCGACAACAACGCGCAGGGTGGTTGCATGACTTCGGGATTGTTGGGAAGGAAAACATCGTATTTGTTGAGGGGTTGCAATAAAGCTGTGCTGACGCCGCCATTGCGATCACCGTTCTTCATCGATGCGATACAAGCCGAGGCGAAGGAATTAAAAGAAATTTCTCAGGAAGGTGATGGTTTGGATTCAGATTTAATTTCACAACCACCGGCACCGCCACCAGCGCCAGAAATACCACCACCACCACCACTAATTGATGCCAGTGTTTCTGATGGTAGTGGCCGCAGTGAAGCTGGTGCTAACAGTCAAACAGGCGGTGGCATCTCTGGTGGTGGTGGCTCAAGTGGAATTTCTCACGGAGATAAAGATTCCACTGTGGAGGTTTCTGCCCTTGTTGATAAGTCTGCATCCTCCACCGCCAATGATGGTGATGGTTCGCAGAACACCGGAGTTGAGTCGGCCACTCAGAAGAACAATTCTTCAGGAACAGCTGAACTCTCCGTAAAAGCACCGGATTTGCCCGCATTGCCCAAATTGCAGAATCCGGAGGTGTCAGATCTCGACAAAAGTGAAATCTCTCTTAATACAAAAGAGACAATAAGTGTTGAAGCTCCTGATAGGGGTGCAAGTAGAGGCTACGCAGGGGAGAGTGAAGTAGATACCAAAGTCTCCTCCAGCGTGTCTTCTGCCAAGAGCAAACCCACAGGGAAACCATCATTGCCATTACTATCAACGGGAGAAAGTCCAACAACAAAAACAACAGGACCAAACGACTCAGAGGCTCAGACAGAAAAAAATGGAGAAACAGCAGCTTCAGGAACCGAAACGGACTCTGCAACACCTAAACCGTCTTCAAAGGATGATGTGGCAGAGCAACAAAATCAAGAGAGCGACAGACAAGATTTGATGAAGTATGCAGCTACCGGCCATCCAGCAGGCACAGCAGCAATACCCATCTCTACAGATGGCAATGGTGATGCTCATGGAACGGCGAGTGAGAATGGTGACGATACTGGAGGGCATAATAAAAAAAAAACCCACGACGACCCCGAAGCTGACAATACCAACGTCGGTATTACAGCCAATGAGACAGCACCAGAAGCAGTCAACAGCTCTCAAACAAATAATACGGCTACAACTGGCGACAGTGACGGCAGCACCGCGGTGTCCCACACCACCTCCCCTCTTTTGCGTTTATTTTTGCGTGTACGGCTGCTGCTGCGATAGTGGTGGCTACGCTTGCATGAAGTTTTGTGCGCTGAATATGAAGGAAGGCCTAAGAAAGATGAATTGTTCTTGCGATGAGCTTGGCTGCACTTCCCGTGGACCAACAATCCACGTGGTGTGCGGGGATCTCCTCTTTTTCATTGTTACTTTGCTTTTGTGTTGCTGTGGGCGCTGCACCTCCTCTTGTGTGTGTGCGTATCCTCCGTGAGGGATGCCGACACGACGGACCGCTCTCGCCGTATGTGCATGCGGTGGAGCCTTGTGTGCCGCTCCTGTTTGCCTCTTCCTCTTCCATCTGTGTGTTGGTGCTGCGGCAGGGCTGTGTGTGTGTGTGCCTGCTGCCGTGGATTGGATTGTGTGTCGTGCGTGGTGTGCGGCGTACGGTGCATGCCTGGCTGCTGCCCTCTCTCCTCATGTGGTGTGCCCTCTGTGTGTGTGTCTGCCGCACCTCTCGTCTCCCCTGTTGCTCTCCATGTCCCTCACTGTGCAGATCAGCTCCACACCACTGAACGACCACACTCACGATGATGATGACGTGCCGTCTGCTGTGCGCCCTGTTGGTGCTCGCCCTGTGCTGCTGCCCGTCCAATGCATCAGGGACTGAGCGGGCGGAACAAGATTCTTCCCTGGAGACCACGATGACGACTGCAACACAGGCAACAACCCTGACGCTTGGTCAGCCAGGTCCGAAAGGTGAGGAGTCCGGTGGGGACAAGGGAAATCCTGCCGTACATGGAGTTGAAGGAGCTACGACCGATCCGAAAACGCAATTAAATGCGAAGCCCAATGCGTCAGCGGCAGAAGTTAAGAACGGTATGACAGAGACAACAAGTGACAAGAATCCATCCGCAGAACAAAGAAATAAGAGTGAAGAAGATTCCGCCCAGACGACCACGACGACCACAACACAGGCACCAACCACGACCACGACCACCACTGCGCCACAGGCACCAACTACTACGACTACGGAGACGCCAACCACGACGACCACCCGCGCACCGTCACTTCTTCGTGAAGTCGACGGCAGCCTCATCAGTTCTGCGTGGATGTGTGCCCCGCTGCTGCTCGCCGTATCCGCGCTGGCGTACACCGCTGTGGGCTGAAGAGGTGTGTGCGGGCTGTGCGTGCCAGCACTCAACCACGGGGATTTGTGTGCGCGTCTACTGTGGTCCGATGTAACTAAACAGGAGAAAATAATGATTGCGTTTTGCTTCATTTGCTTCCGCTGCCCTGCTGTGTGCTCCGCGTTGTGCCCCACATCCGTCAAGTTGAGCGCGTACCAGACACACTCATATGCACGACACGCATACAACTGTTTGCGTAGATGCATTTTTGTGCTTGTGCATGCGCACTGGAGTCATTGGGTGCATTTTTTTGTTCTTTTGTGTTTTTACTGTTTTTCTTATTGCTACTTTTTCACTTTGGTTTTGTTTTTAATTGCTTTTTTTTTTTGTTAAATTATTACGGGGCGTTGTGCGTTTTCTGACTTTTATTGGTTTAATTTTTCTCATGAAATGCGTGCAGCAGCTGCTGATGTTTTTTACTGTGTCGTGTCTTTTCTTTTGCTCTCACTCAGCGTTGACGGGGAGTTAGTTTGTGCTGAAGGCTGCACGCAAGTGACGGGAGTGATGATGATGATGATGACTGGCCGTGTGCTGCTGGTGTGTGCCCTCTGCGTGCTGTGGTGCGGTGCCGGCGTTGCTCATGCGAGGGACCGCGACAACAACGCGCAGGGTGGTTGCATGACTTCGGGATTGTTGGGAAGGAAAACATCGTATTTGTTGAGGGGTTGCAATAAAGCTGTGCTGACGCCGCCATTGCGATCACCGTTCTTCATCGATGCGATACAAGCCGAGGCGAAGGAATTAAAAGAAATTTCTCAGGAAGGTGATGGTTTGGATTCAGATTTAATTTCACAACCACCGGCACCGCCACCAGCGCCAGAAATACCACCACCACCACCACTAATTGATGCCAGTGTTTCTGATGGTAGTGGCCGCAGTGAAGCTGGTGCTAACAGTCAAACAGGCGGTGGCATCTCTGGTGGTGGTGGCTCAAGTGGAATTTCTCACGGAGATAAAGATTCCACTGTGGAGGTTTCTGCCCTTGTTGATAAGTCTGCATCCTCCACCGCCAATGATGGTGATGGTTCGCAGAACACCGGAGTTGAGTCGGCCACTCAGAAGAACAATTCTTCAGGAACAGCTGAACTCTCCGTAAAAGCACCGGATTTGCCCGCATTGCCCAAATTGCAGAATCCGGAGGTGTCAGATCTCGACAAAAGTGAAATCTCTCTTGATACAAAAGAGACAATAAGTGTTGAAGCTCTTGATAGGGGTGCAAGTAGAGGCTACGCAGAGGAGAGTGAAGTAGATACCAAAGTCTCCTCCAGCGTGTCTTCTGCCAAGAGCAAACCCACAGGGAAACCATCATTGCCATTACTATCAACGGGAGAAAGTCCAACAACAAAAACAACACGACCAAACGACTCAGAGGCTCAGACAGAAAAAAATGGAGAAACAGCAGCTTCAGGAACCGAAACGGACTCTGCAACACCTAAACCGTATTCAAAGGATGATGTGGCAGAGCAACAAAATCAAGAGAGCGACAGACAAGATTTGATGAAGTATGCAGCTACCGGCCATCCAGCAGGCACAGCAGCAATACCCATCTCTACAGATGGCAATGGTGATGCTCATGGAACGGCGAGTGAGAATGGTGACGATACTGGAGGGCATAATAAAAAAAAACCCACGACGACCCCGAAGCTGACAATACCAACGTCGGTATTACAGCCAGTGAGGCAGCACCAGAAGCAGTCAACAGCTCTCAAACAAATAATACGGTGACCCCTGGCGACAGTGACGGCAGCACCGCGGTCTCCCACACCACCTCCCCTCTTTTGCGTCTTGTTTTCACGTATGCGGCTGCTGCTGCGATAGTGGTGGCTACGGTTGCATGAAGTTTTGTGCGCTGAATATGAAGGAAGGCCTAAGAAAGATGAATTGTTCTTGCGATGATCTTGGCTGCACTTCCCGTGGACCAACAATCCACGTGGTGTGCGGGGATCTCTCCTTTTTTATTGTTACTTTGCTTTTTTGTTGCTGTGTGCGCTGTGCCTTCTCTTGTGTGTGTGCGTACCCTCTGTGCGGGGTGCCGACACGACGGACCGCTCTCGCCGTATGTGCATGCGGTGGAGCCTTGTGTGCCGCTCCTGTTTGCTTCTCCCTCTTCCATCTGTGTGTTGGTGCTGCGGCAGGGCTGTGTGTGTGTGCCTGCTGCCGTGGATTGGAGTGTGTGTCGTGCGTGGTGTGCGGCGTACGGTGCATGCCTGGCTGCTGCCCTCTCCTCATGTGGTGTGCCCTCTGTGTGTGTCTGCCGCACCTCTCGACTCCCCTGTTGCTCTCCATGTCCCTCACTGTGCAGATCAGCTCCACACCACTGAACGACCACACTCACGATGATGACATGCCGTCTGCTGTGCGCCCTGTTGGTGCTCGCCCTGTGCTGCTGCCCGTCCAATGCATCAGGGACTGAGCGGGCGGAACAAGATTCTTCCCAGGAGACCACGATGACGACTGCAACACAGGCAACAACCCTGACGCTTGGTCAGCCAGGTCCGAAAGGTGAGGAGTCCGGTGGGGACAAGGGAAATCCTGCCGCACATGGAGATGGAGGAGCTACGACCGATCCGAAAACGCAATTAAATGCGAAGCCCAATGCGTCAGCGGCAGAAGTTAAGAACGGTATGACAGAGACAACAAGTGACAAGAATCCATCCGCAGAACAAAGAAATAAGAGTGAAGAAGATTCCCCCCAGACGACCACGACGACCACAACACAGGCACCAACTACTACGACCACGACCACCACTGCGCCGGAGGCACCAAGTACGACGACTACAGAGACGCCAACCACGACGACCACGCGCGCACCGTCACGTCTTCGTGAAATTGACGGCAGCCTCAGCAGCTCTGCGTGTATGTGTGCCCCGCTGCTGCTCGCCGTATCCGCGCTGGCGTACACCGCTCTGGG